TTGTTTTTTTTATGAAATAAATTATACACATAGAAAAAAACAGGACAAATATATGTGCAAGGAGGAATGAAGTCCAAACACAAACAGAAAAGGGGGGAAACACCACAAAACTAAATTTACCTTGGACGCGTTTCGCGTCTGTATTTCCGTGAAAGTACTGTGATCTTTTTATGTGCTTTGATTCTCCATCATTCAATCAAAATGGACATGGTAGTTAATTAATAATATAAATGGCCACCATAAGTTATGGAAATATATGTTTTTTTTTTTACAAAATATAGTTTGTAAGTGTTTCTCCGAAGCAATATTCTTGGCCTTGATATTGGAGGATTATAAAAACAGCAGCTCTGGACAGGTTAGCAAGAAGATACATGCAACCTCCATTATCTAAAATTCTAAAGAAGATTTTGGTTGCCTCTCTGTGTTGTTCAGAGAGTGGAGAGGACTGACCTAAAGGTTCTGCATCTGCTGCCCCTTCCCCCAAAAGTGTGAAACCCAGAGCATGCCCAACAATGAGCATGGACTACCAGGCCCAACAATGGGCATGGACTACTAAATACAAAAATAGCATCCCTTCAACACACCTGCGAAACCCTTAATATGGATCCATGTCGATGGCAATGGCTACATACATTTGTAAGTCTCTGTATTCTCTGATTTAAAACACATGCAGTATAATTCAACATATAAAGACAAGGAAACATATGTTACATATGAAGGTTTAAAACGTGTAGACATTTGTTATTAGGATTAAAATATATACATTCACATGAAAAAAATATACCACAAAGTATATGTCACATATCTTATCTTAAACACCTCTGATGTCTCACTATACATATAACACAGAATAACACAAATACATCAAAACATACTTTGGTGCTTTCTCACACTAGTTCCATGGACATCATCACCAATAGTCTACTCCAGGAGTAGGCAACCTTGGGCACTCTGTATGTTGTGGGCTACATCTCCCATAATGCTGGCAAAGCTTCTGGGGAGATGAAATGCACAGCATCTAGACTGCCAAAGATTGAAACAGCAGCCTACCTCCAGTCTATTCCACCTGTATTCCCAAATGGTTAAGTCCCAAAAAGCAGAAATACAGAGTAAAACTAGACCCCATTTTACATATAGATTTTCTTCTGTACAAAGAGTTTTCTCCCATAGAGAATGCATTTCTTATTAACCAAACCAGCATCTTTATACTGAAGCTCTGTGGATTCCTTTCACTCTCTAGGTGCAACAAATCAATGGAAATCCATGTATCTCACTCAAATGGTTTTTTCATCTCTGCCTAATATTTATATTTCAATATTGGCTCCCTGTATCCTATAGGAGTCAATTCAAAGTGCTAACCCATACATTTAAAGCACTGAACAGTTCTAGCCTCTCTTATATCTCTTCACCGATCCATAGGTATGCCCCTCCTCGTTCCCTCCACTCTGCCCGTGACCACCTCCTGACCTCTGCTTGCACCCGTACGGCCAACTTGCGCTTGCAGGACATCTTGCTGGCAGCTCCTTTCCTATGGAATAGCCTGCCTACTGCCATCAGACTCTCCCCTAGTCTTCAATCATTTAAGAAGGGCCTTAAAACCTGTCTCTTCAGGAAAGCTTATAGCCTCCCAGAGTAATCTCTACCTTACATACTTGTCTCTTGCTCTCTCCTATCGGACAGTGCTTTACTCTCTCCTCCAGCTCTGCTTCACTCCCACCCTATTTGATATTTCCTGTCCTAACATGTCTTATACCCCACCTCCTATAGTCTGTAAGCTCTTCAACCTATTGTTCCTGTAAGTTTTCTTGTAATTGTCCTATTTATAGTTACATCCCCCCTCTCATAATATTGTAAAGCGCTACGGAATTTGTTGGCGCTATATAAATGGCAATTATAATAATAATAACAATCCCAGCATTTTAGAAAATCACTTTGCAGGCTCAAGACACAGCACCCATATAAAGGAAGCCAGACAGCATTTAGATGGCTCTATTTTCCAAACCTCAATCACTACTGATCATACTGTACAATATCTTTCTGGTTTAAAAGCTCTGGTTGTGGTAATCACCACAATGCAATGATTCGTTAACAAGGTCAAGAAGATTCACATACCTCCAAGGTGTCCCTGTTTAGGAGGGACACTCTCTATGTTTCTATTTTTGGCCCAAATCATTCTGTCCCTATTTTCTATCTTAATGTCCCTCTTTTCTAGGAGCTCCAATACATTGTTGGTGTATCTGAGTGTATAACAGAATTCCACAGCAATAATACTCCCAGGGATGTGTCTTGAACCCCTTAAGCACTGAGGCAGTTGCACACGTTGTGATCAAAACAAAACCTTGAATTTGCGCTATATGTCTGTTCAGGCGTGATTCATCTTTCATATTATGTGCACCGACACTTATCATATATAATTTTGTTCATGAGAAACAGGGATTTCATGTCACATCAAATATTTGTATATTAAACATAATTTAATATGAGTAAAATATAAAAAATATTGTAAAATTAAGAAATTTTATTTTTTTAGTTTTGCATGGAATATTTACTGTGAATGTCACAATACTGTTAGCTGTTACTGCAATAAAAAACACATATTTGTATTCAGTGATGTCTCACGAGTAGTGATGTCCCGAACGGTTCGCCGAACGGTTTGCCGAACGGTTCGCCACAGATGGCGAACATAAACATAAACTTTGACCCTGTACCTCACAGTCAGCAGACACATTCCAGCCAATCAGCAGCAGACCCTCCCTCCCAAATCCTCCCACCTCCTGACCCCCATGATGGCATACCATTTGCAAAAGTAGACAACCCAAGGTATTACAAATGGGGTCCATTCTTTTTTAGTAGCCACTTAGTCACAAACTCTGGCCAATGTTAGCGTTCATATTTTGCCAGTGTTTGTGAATAAGTGGCTAGTAAAAAAGACTGGACATACCCCATTTGCAATACCTTTGGTTGTCTTATTTTGCAAATGGTATGCCATCATGGGGGTAATTCTCATTCCTGGGCTACCATATGGTCTCAAAGGCAACATAACCAGTCTGGCAAAGTTTAATGTGTATTAACTGAAAATTTTTATGTACTATATTTGATCCAGTAACTTTTCAAAACACAATAAAACCTGTACGTTGGGGGTACTGTTTTACTCGTGAGACATTGCTGAATACAATTATGTGTATTTTATTGCAGTAACAGCTAACAGTATTTCAACGTGAAAAAAAGGAAATTCAAGCCTTATATTTGACTCAGTAACTTTTGAAAACACCATAAAACCTGTACATGGGGGGTACTGTTATACTCAGGAGACTTCACTGAACACAAATATTAGTGTTTCAAAATAGTAAAATCTTTCACAACAATAATATCGTCAGTGAAAGTACAGCTTGTGTGTGATATGTTTTACTGTTTTCAAACACTAATATTTGTGTTCAGCGAAGTCTCCTGTGTAAAACAGTACCCCCCATGTACAGATTTTATGGTGTCCTGGAAAGTTACAGGGTTAAATATAGGGCTTGCGAGCCAAATTCTCTGGACATTCTGCCTGGGTTGTTAGGCAGGTCCATCAGATTGTAATTAATAAAATGACTTAGTTATGCAAAAATATTATATGAATGTAATTGTAGAATTTAAACATATATATATATATATGTGTACAAAAAACACTATTGTGCAAATTAATGCCAAATAGTGCAAGATGTGGAGCGCTATAACAATAAAATAAACACTTACTCCTGTGATTCTCAGGAGATATAGGTGCTGAGGAAGTCCTTGTACATCCTTATTAGATGGGAAACCTCTAATGGGAAAATTCTCCAATTAGCTACCACTGTGGGATATTTAAAGTTTGTATTTGCAGTATGTATTTACCAATCGATAAAGCCGAACTACACAGGCGAAACGCGTCTTGGACCAAGCACTATCACTTGAGTATATTGATTTTATTGTTTTAAGTTATATTTACAATAAATGTTATATTTTTGATTCAAGTTGATTAGTGATATAGTCATGCTGCTGCAAAGAAGGGCTGTGTCACTCTATATTTGACACTACATCTGCACACTTGGAGCCTGGTAACTGGCTCCTGACAAGGTGAGAAGCCAATTGTCATTTATATTTGACCATCTATTATTTGCGGCATGAATTTCAGATTATTACTGTAGAGCAGTGCACTATAACCCTGTTTAATAGTGTCTTGGTGTTGAGGGTCACTCAACTCGTTTCCCCCCCAGCATTCAGTCCTACAACTGCCAATAGAGCATGAAATGTTTCTACTTTTAGAAAATGTCAAAGGAGTGTTGGGATTCTACCACCTGGCAAGAACACTCATTATCACTTATACCATTCTCAGTTGACAGATTTATACAGATAATTCTGGTGACTCAGCAAGCAGCTTGAATTAACTGTATATTGAGTGTTTTCTGCAATGTTTTCATTTGAAACATTTTTTTTATTTTTTCATAATATAAATTTTTCTAATTGTATTTTATTTTGTCTGTTTTAACTTTACAAAATTTTCACATTGTATTACACCATAATATTCATGCTTTTCATTTTCTTTATAATTCGGATTTATTGGTTCACCAGGTTCTTCACCTTATTTTTATGGCAACACATTAATTCTTCCTTCATTTTTTCTTTAAATTTCCTCTTGTGCACTATACTTTGTCTGGCTTAGCCAGCAAATATAAATGGTAGAAATAACTCTGCATGTGTTCTTGAGCCAGTTGTCCCAAACATCTATTAATTGAATGACATGACATGCTCCAAACTAACAATCACCAAAGTAACAGACTCAATTAGCTAATTTGTGTGTCTTTTTCAGTAATATATTGAAGCCTAAGGTTTTTTTTTTTTAAACAAATAAATTTAAACAAGTTAATTAAAATTATAGTATTTATTCTGCAACTTAGCAAATTCTACTTATAAACATGACTATATATAATTTATAAATAAGTTATTTTCTTACATATGTTTTTTAATATGTTATTTTTATTTTACTTCTGCTCTTTGTCTCTTTTCATGAGATGCTCTCTGGAGTTCATGTTGGGTCGGAACAATATAATGAAACATTTTGGCACAAAAATACAGATAACCACAGCCCAGCTGGAACAAAGAATGGCAAAGACCTCCATGGCAACTGTGTTCTTTCCATGAGCGCTAAGATAAGCTGGAACGAAGGACACCCAGACGCTGAGGAAGGCCAGCATGCTAAATGTGATGAACTTGGCTTCATTGAAACTGTCTGGAAGGTGTCTCACCAAGAAGGCAAAAATAAAACTGATAGCAGCCAGAAGGCCAAGATATCCAAGCATGATCCAGAAAAAAACACCTGATAAACCTTCATTACAGGTAACAATGATGACTCTAGATAGTGTCTGAGTGTCATATTCTGGAAAAGGAGGGGAATGAGATAACCAGAGTACACAGATACATAGCTGGATAAGGACACAAATCCCCATAGCAGAATACGAGACCTTGATCCCTGACCATTTTTGTAACATTGAACCTGGCTTGGTTGCTTTGAAGGCTATTGCAACAGTAATGGTCTTTGCCAGGACACAGGAAATGCACAGTGCAAAAACCATGCCAAATGCCACCTGGCGCAGCAGGCACATCACTGGCTGTGGATAGCCGATGAAAGCTAGGGCGCAAAGAAAGCAAAAAGAGAGACACAGTAAAAGAAGGCAACTGAGAGACCAGTTATTGGCTCTAACTATTGGAGTAGTTCTGTGGCAGAAAAAGACCATCAAAATGTAGACAGGGATGGTAGAAGAGAAAAGAGCAATGGCTGCCAAGCTTACACCCATTGGGTCTTTGTAGGACAGAAATTCAGGAGCACGGGGTAGACATCTGCCCTGTTCTTGATTTGGCCACATGTCCCAGGAACATTGTTGACACTCAACGGCATCTGAAAGGAAGCATGAATGTAAACATTTTTTGTAAGACATATGGATTTGTTATAACACATTATAAACTAGTTACAGTACCTGTCTGATTAGATATTTTCCCTTGAGGACAGTGAGCACACTCATAACAGCAGGAGGGTTTTCCTGGTATTGTCACCTTTTGAAACCCAGAGGGACAACTTGGACTGCACTTGGAGTATGGAACCTAAGATAAATATAATTATGACCTACATTTAGTATTTTTGACTACACTTTTCAAATACTTTAATATTACTGGAAACAACACACATCGATATTTTTATTTATTTAATTTTTTTAATTCCATAATTCTTTTCTTTTTTTTTCCTCTTAAATTCCATGGACTATACAATATTCTGGGTTTTTTTTTGCTACCTGTATCCATATATTGTGTGCCATCGTCTTGGTGTATTTATGACTATCCTTACATAATGTGTGTATCAAAACCTTGCTTTGTTCTTGTTTATTCTATATTGTTACTTGTACTGGTACTTATGGTGTCATATATTTGACACTGTTGCACATAGAAGGCTTATCAATAAACTTCAATCTTTAAGTTTGGATTCAAATATTGTTGAATGGGTAAGGCAGTGGCTGAGTGACAGGCAACAGAGGGTTGTAGTTAATGGAATATATTCGAAGCTTGGACTTGTCACCAGTGGGGTACCTCAGGGATCTGTACTTGGACCCATTCTCTTTAATATTTTTATTAGTGATATTGCAGAAGGTCTTGATGGTAAGGTATGTCTTTTTGCTGATGATACTAAGATATGTAACAGGGTTGATGTTCCAGGAGGGATAAGCCAAATGGCAAATGATTTAGGTAAACTAGAAAAATGGTCAGAATTGTGGCAACTGACATTTAATGTGGATAAGTGCAAGATAATACATCTTGGACGTAAAAACCCAAGGGCAGAGTACAGAATATTTGATAGAGTCCTAACCTCAACATATGAGGAAAGGGATTTAGGGGTGATTATTTCTGATGACTTAAAGGTAGGCAGACAATGTAATAGAGCAGCAGGAAATGCTAGCAGAATGCTTGGTAGTATAGGGAGAGGTATTAGCAGTAGAAAGAGGGAAGTGCTCATGCCATTGTACAGAACACTGGTGAGACCTCACTTGGAGTATTGTACACAGTACTGGAGACCGTATCTTCAGAAGGATATTGATACCTTAGAGAGGGTTCAGAGAAGGGCTACTAAACTGGTTCATGGATTGCGGGATAAAACTTACCAGGAAAGGTTAAAGGATCTTAACATGTATAGCTTGGAGGAAAGACGAGACAGGGGGGATATGATAGAAACATTTAAATATATAAAGGGAATCAACACAGTAAAGGAGGAGACTATATTTAAAAGAAGAAAAACTACCACAACAAGAGGACATAGTCTTAAATTAGAGGGACAAAGGTTTAAAAATAATATCAGGAAGTATTACTTTACTGAGAGGGTAGTGGATGCATGGAATAGCCTTCCAGCTGAAGTGGTAGAGGTTAACACAGTAAAGGAGTTTAAGCATGCGTGGGATAGGCATAAGGCTATCCTAACTATTAGATAAGACTAGGGACTAATGAAAGTATTTAGAAAATTGGGCAGACTAGATGGACCGAATGGTTCTTATCTGCCGTCACATTCTATGTTTCTATGTTTCTATGTTTCTATGTCTACCTATCTGTAACCATACACTACCTGTAAATCCCCTGTGTTCCATTTTATTGAAGTACTGTCTAATATCAAAGTTGTTCCACTTGGGGCGCTTGAATTATAAATTCCAACTATAATCTGTTCCAAATTTCCTGTAGCCCCCAGTTGCCAGTTTACAATATCGTATATTGCTGGTGGGTCCCCTTTATCATTGAAGAAAATTTGTGTTTTATCATCAGCCTGAAAGTTTATATTTTTTACATAATGGAGCAACTGGGAAAGTAAAAGAAAAAAAATTGTGTAAAAATGTTGTCAAACTTAAGGGCCGATTATTTAGAAATGGTTCTTGGTTAATTATCTTACTTGCCAAGGTCGGAAAGATGAGATTTTAGCACATTCTCCATGATGGAATGGTCCAGCTCCAGGTTTGCATTGAAGGAGACTTTTCAAGGCCCATGCAAAGGTGTAAACACAGGTATAGACATTAAATGGTAGCCTAAAATCTGCTATAGTTAAAGAGCTCTCCAGTGTTTCTCCACCTGTACATTGGGTTGTTCCATTATTAATGTTCACAAACCTCTTACACAAAAATATTTCTTCCCAAATAAACTTGGCAAAGTCACCATCTGGATATTTTGAAGGATGAAAGCTGGTGAGATACTCGCTGAATCCCAGAATCTTCCCACTGTGCATGGCAAAACCAATAGTGCCTACCAAGATTTGTTGAAATCTTTTATTGGACAGAACAGCAGATGTTGACCAGGATTCACTGGCTACCCACAGTTTGCCAGACACATTTTGCTTTAGTAACTCTTCCAGCACTGACATGAAGTGAAAAGCAGCTGAAACCACAACAATCACTCTAGCTGTTGACTCTCTGATGGTCTTGACAATCTGTGGGGCATTTTTGTTTGGATGTTCGCTCAATATGTTCTCAACAAAGGCAACACATGCTCCAGAAATGAGCAACTCCTGTTTAATCACCTGGATACCAAACTGACCATAATCATTATCAGTGGCCAAGAGTCCAATCCATGACCAACCAAAGTGTGTAACAAGCTGAGCTAGTCCTCGAGACTGAAACTCATCACTAGGTATTGTCCGGAAGAAGGATGGGAACTGATTCCTATTACTCAGGATGGGGCTAGTAGAAAAAAAACTGACCTGTAAGATACAAACATTAGTCATAAAATATACACTTTGCTTTCCATTTTAAATTGAGATATAATCTGCCTACATTGGTATGTACAAAAATAAATAAATAGAAACTTAGATATGTGCAAAAATGTATTTTTAGCTATTTATTTATTCAATTTATGCTATTCGTCCCCCCCAACAAAAAAATCCTGCTAATCGTAGAACAAATCAATTCCCGACATTTGGTTTGTTCATAAATTAACCTAATCAGTACCAAATCTTAACTGGTACCTTTTTAAAGAATAATTTTAATCCAGTTCTGATTCAAAGGTTCTTTACTCGTTTTATCATCCTTATAATTGCTAGTGTTATTCTCCTACCTGTGGATATCTATAGAGTCCCAATATTTGAGCCATTAAGATGGAACGTGTCGATCCAGAGTCACCGATGATACCAGCGAGATGTGTTTTCTCTTGCCATTGGTAATTGGGGATGCTCTTGCTCCCCCCTGATAACATCCAAAAAGTCCCTTCCACTGCCCGTCTCATGGCACCACAATTGTCAAAAAGTTTGATCCCTAAAGTGATGTTAGGAAGAAGGTCTGGATTTGCATTAATTTCCTCCACAGCAAATTTCATGGCTTGCAAGCTCTGGTAATAGTCAAATCCAAACCTTATAGGAGAGAACATAGATTATAAAACAATGGCAGCCATTCTAGTTGGAAGCAAATACTTAAAGTACACATTTAGAAAGCAAATTTATGCTAGAAGCAGGAAGAGAGATAGTGACAGTAGGTGTGTGTGGGTTTTGTATGCATGGGGTCTAGGATGAGATCGATTGGGGCTAGGAATAAGAGAGCAGAGAAATGAGTGCAGGGCATGAGATAAGTGAAGGGAGATTGTAGCAGAGAGGAGTTAATGTTGAGTTTGTTGGGGAGTTGAGGGATGTGGGTGTAAGGAGAGATTTTGACAACATATGAACATTGCAGATACTTATTTACCCTCTACTGCATTTGTAAACAATAAATCCAATATGTAACATAATAAATCCATACTCTATTATTAAGGCTCGAGGGTTGATCCAGAAAAAGAGCGAAAAGGACTCAAGTGTAAGATCATGTGAGGTAGGAGAAAAGTAGAAACTACAAAAAAAAGTATAATGCAAAAAATATATAAAAACATGTATAAAATATATATATGCAAGATAAAAAAATTTGAAAAAAAATCTGCAATATATGGAAGTGTGTTGAATAGTATCACCAGTATCCTATTATAACATCGTCGCTGTGAAGATGTACTATGTGTGTAGTACAAAGTGCACCCCATTGGATCCACTTTGATGTGGATCCTCTACTGCATAGACAAGAGGCAAAAGTTCTAGGAGATAACCACATGTTCTATATTGAGAACACTAGTGACTTAACCCCTTAAGGTCACATGACATGTGTGACATGTCATGATTCCCTTTTATTCCAGAAGTTTGGTCCTTAAGGGGTTAAAGAGACACTGAATATGTGACACATTCATTAAGTCCTTTAGGTGCGGCTGTGTCCAGATGGTGAATCCAGAATTCTTTTCTCTGAAGGATTAGTCTGGATCTGTCTCCTCCACGAGGGAGTGGAGGGACATAGTAAGTGGCCATAAAGCATAGGAAGTCTATGTGAAGAAGACAGTATTGCGATATGGGTAAGGAATCCTTTAAATGTTGTGGGTAATAACTAGAGGCCATAAGCAACGTGTTTCTGCCGGTCGTTTTGCGATGTAGTGTATATCCTAATTGATCCTGATCTTTGTATACAGTAAAATCAAGAAACGGGATCTCGGCGCTGTTACTTGTAATTAAGTTTTACCAGTAGGGTTGATTAATTAATTTCTGCTACCATATTTTCCAGTTCAATACACGAGCCTAGCCAAACAAGGAATATGTCATCCACAAAACAATGATATGTAAATATTTTTCCTGCATACGTACGAGGGCGCCATTGCCACACCTATCGCTGTACCGGCAACCTGTAAATAAAAATGTTCTTTAAATCTAAAGTAGTTGCATGTGAGTGCAAGATGTAGACTGTCCAAGACGTAGTCTACAGGTGGCAATGATATTCAGTGGAAGTACTCAAGATCTCCCTGAGTGCATGGATACCCTGATCATGGGTTATTATAGTGCAAAGGTTTTGTACGTCCAATGTGGTCAAAATGATTTTCTCATCTTTGAGAGAAATTTTGTTAATTTTATCCTAACAATAGCTGGTGTCTCGAAAGCATGTTGAAAGTATCATAACCAAATTTGAATGTAAAAATCAATGTATCATGCCACCGGTTTCAAAAGACTGTACCTAACTGAGACAATTAGTCTCCCGGGTGGGTTCTCTGCATTCTTGTGGATTTTCGGTAAAGTGTATTGTACTGGATGTTTAGAATGTTGCATAAGAAGATATTTAGATGTTCTATTGCGCAGGTAGCCCAATTGTACCCCCAATGCAATGTGTTCACTGATTCTTTGTTGAAACTTGTTGTCGGAATCAAAAGTCAATCTCTGACAGGTAGAGGTATTGGAGAGTTGCCGTAAGATTTTGTTCCTATATTTGTCATAAGACATAAGCACGATAGCACCACCCTTGTCTGCCAGTCGGGTGATAATCCATGGATCATTATTATTATTATTATGTTATTATTTATATAGAGCCAACAAATTCTGCAACGATTTACAGTGGGTTGACGAACAGACATGTAGTTGTAACCAGACAAGTTGGACACACAGGAACAGAGGGGTTGAGGGCCCTGGTCAATGAGCTTACTTGCTAGAGGGAGTGGGGTAAAGTGACATAAAAGGTAAGGATAGTATTAGACTAATGACAGCTGAAAGAGAGTAATCAATCGGGAGCCAATAAAAGTTTAATTGATACGCTTTTCTGAAGAAGTGGGTTTTTAATGATTTTTTGAAGGAGTGTAGACTGGGTGAGCATCTAACAGAGGAGGGAAGTGAGTTCCACAGGAACGGTGCAGCCCTGGAGAAGTCTTGAAGGCGAGCATCAGAGGTGTGAGTATGGACAGAATATAGACATTTGTCTTCAGTAGAGTGTAAGGACCTAGACGGGACATACTTGTGTATTCATGAGTTCTTTTAATGCAGCCTGTTCTTCATGTATGAGATTCTTTCTATGGTCCAGAGGGTTTTTCACAACATTTTCCATGTACATTTTTATTGCTTGCATGAAGGTCTTATGCATCTGTGATGTATCATATACATTTATAGTTCTTTGTTTTTTGCAATCATTGTTATATATTGCATACAACTTGCAGTGTTAGTAATTGCACACACTTGTCACTTGGGGGTCCTTGTGTATCACTTCATTTGTATCACACATCTTAACTTCATCACACTTTCTATATATAACGTTGTACTCACCTCTCTTTGTACTGGTATGTGGTAGTTCACGTATCTCACTCTTCAGCCCAACTTTTAGTGCGTGGGCAATAGGCACATTTATTATGAGTCCTCCATATGTATCATATGTATTATACGTCATTTACAGGACCTTGGGAGTTGGCAATCAACGAGCTTGTTTGTTTTTTTCATTCACCTAGCAACAACCGTAATCGCACGAACTTGTCACGTCACACGTCCCACTTGCGCAAAGGGTCGAAATGTTGATCGGGACAGAATATTATATTGTTTAAATAAACACATTGAAGAAACCTCAGAGCACCCTTTCTTCTTTGGATTTTATACAGATGCAAGGTTTGGCACCGAGGCAAGGTTACTCCGAATTTCAAACCGGTGAGTGTATATATGTAGGGAATATACTGTACTGTATGTATATATTATATATTTAAATTAAAAATGTATAATGATATGAATATATATATATATGAGTACACCCCTCACATTTTTGTTAATATTTTATTATATCTTTTGAGGGGTGTACTCACTTTTGTGAGATACTGTATATATTCCCAAGAGGAAGTATTTCCCAAGTAAGTGGATTAATCTCATAAGAGCAGGCTTTAGGCTGCTGGAGTAGAACCTGCCAATAATGGGATACATTGATGTTGTGGCAGACTTATGCAATATATGATCATATAATGTAACTAAACCCCCATTATTTTTTGACTAGGTGAGGTTTATATATATTTACACATTGTTGCTGCTCCTTTTTTCACTCTATAGCTCACTTCTCACTGATCTGTGAATAAAGTCAATATTTTGTGACTGTCCCCTAGCCATCAATCATCTTTTTTACCACATTAACCCATTAAGGACGACGATACAGGACAGGGTACTTACCCGCTTAAGGTCTTGATAAAAGTCAGTTTGGACTGAAACGCTAACAAATACATGCAAATTAACCAGACATTTCCTTAAATGCATTTCGTATTTCTTGTACTGGTTTAGGTATGTACCATGTGTAAGCTGAAGATTTCCATTGACACTGTGATTTTATAATGTGCACTGGTATGTTGGTGCTGGAGGCTGTGGAGGCCACCCCTATAGGGAAGGAGTAACCCGAGTAGGTAGAAGGGTTGCGGACCAGTTGGGTTAACAGAGATCTGACATATCTCAAGAATGTAGAGGTAGTAAACACTGAGCCATGTACTACAAATAATGGTTGTGATGGTTGTGAGGTAGGGTTTTGAAGGTATGAATCTAGGACTGCAACTTGGCACCATTTATTGTGGGTAGGAAAATATGTTATCTCTACTGGTGGTGCTTGTTGGCTCGTTTTGGAGTGTGATAGAGCCAATAGGTAGTGATCCATGTGTTTATGTAGGTGGGATCATAGAAGACAATGAGTTATCTGATTTGTAGTGATAGTAGTAAACTCTCTTGGCTTTAGAAACTGGTAGAAAGCTATATACATGACTGTTTTAATAACTGTGTTGGTGATGGAATCAAATGGTTTTAAATCTAATCGGTTAGATAAGGATTTGAAAAGGTGGTTGTCTATGGGTAGTCTTTGTGATGTACATGGGGGAACTGTTTTCTGAATACCTCTGAGTATGTGCTTTATCTGATATGATGTTTGGCCATAAGGTTAGCATGTGGTGTTGAATGCCTGTCAGATATAATTTTATGGTGGTGTGAGATAATTTCAGTTTAAGATGGCAAAAAGAAGCAAAGCCTAGGATAGATGCCACAGCAGCCGCCACAATGGGATAGATCTCAAAAAGAGCTGAGGTAGTGGGAAAGCCTTCCAGATCCTGGACTTCTACAGGCCAACTACCCCAAAGCCATTCGTTCCCATAAATTGCTGCAAAACCTATATGGTTGTTGATTTCTCAGACAATCCTGCTTATATCATTCCATGTGGTTAAGAACTTCTTCCACATGTGTAGGTCTGCTGTGGCTTGTGTATCTAAGGGCAGTCTATTATCGTCATCTCGGAAATGTGGGAAAAGGCAAAGTAATTTAGATATGAAAGCGCGGCCTTGTGTTATGATGGGCATGGCAAAATTTAAAGAACTTAGTAGTGATTGTAGCTCCTTGCGGTTGCAAGAACCAAGCACAAGGTAGTGATTTATGTTGTTGAGAATGTTCCCTATTTTGTCTTGTGGTAAACTTGCTTGCATGGATGCAGAGTCAAGTTGGATGCCAAGGAATGTAATGAGAGTATCCGGGCCTTCTGTTTTTTTAAGGA